ATTAAAGACATCTCTCTTAGATGTAATTTGCTTTCAAACTATTTTTACAGCACAGTTTTGCGATCTTCATGTTTACAATTGTGCTCCCTTCGCAGTGCACTTTGAAAACATTGATGTCATTTTGAACACAGCCTCATGCAAAAATTAGGTGACCCATAATTTAAAAGCAGAATTTATGTTATGTCTTCAAAGCTTGTGAAAACAAAAAGCATACGTTAATTCTTTTAAGGTTATTTATTAAGTATCTGTACTGTATATGACATGGGCCTGCTGGTTAGAACTTTCTGCTGTGGTTTACAAGTGTTAAATTGTAAAAGTAGACTTTTCTAAAAAATAAAAAAACAATATCCTACTTAATAATAATAATAATAATAATCATCATTAATATTTTTATTAAAGTAAGATTTTTTCATTTCTAATACATAATAAAAATTACATTTCATTTTATAATAAATAGCCTCACTATTTATTTATTTATATGATTTATATATGATATTAGAATACGTGTTAGCTTTTGTAAGTGATTTTATGTTTTAGAATAAGATATGTCATATTCTCAATAATATTGGTAAAGGAAACATGGACCCTATATTAGGGTTGGGCAATGTCGACCAATTTGGCATCATATGATGTCTAATGTGAAACATGGCGATGGACGATGCCATTAATTAATTGTAGCCTACCATTTTTACTACCTGACCCACATGGACTTTGCTTTAACCATAACCAAACCATAAATAAATAAAGTTACAAATGACCACCTGTCAATCACTTTTTTTTACTTTTTTCGGACTCTGGCATGAATAGGCAGTGATCTGTGTCGTTCTACATGGCTTTTCCTACAGCTGGTGGAGGAGACGAGAGTTCGGTTGGACTTCACTGTAGTGCATACATTTTCATTGTTTTCACTGCGAAATCCTCACCATGTGCACGGATTTCGGGAGACATTTATGCATAAGACATCTTCGCACCTAAAAACACCAAACGCAGCATTCAGGAACAGATAAACAGTTGTTATGTGAACTTGCTGAAGTAAAAAAAGCCTGCAATGCTTGCCCCACCTTTGTGCTTTTCTTATTGGCCCACTGTTCTAACTGAACGCAATTGATTGGTTAATATCAGCCGTCAATCACACAGTCGATGCGTTCTGCCTTCAGATGACAGGAGTTACAACCGCGAAAATGTGAAGCGCTGAAGATGACAGATTTACTCACAGTTACTAATATTGGCACATCTTATTAGTGATCATGTGCTGAATGTTAATACAGCATTTACACTTTTCCAAGAGTGGATGAAAGACTTCGAGTGGCTTCAAGTCCGTATGAAAATGACTAAAGCCATTCACTGTAAAGTCTGTGGGACAGGGTTTTCAGGTAACAGCGTTTGCCACTGAATCTACACCTTTTAAGCGTGAGAGGTGCTGTAAATCCTTCATTTAATCCTCACGATGCTGTCACCCATGCAAGCGGCAGCTATATGTAACATTTAACACAGCTCATGAAAAGACCGTTATTGCTAATAATATGGCATGCAAATAATAAGTTATATATCAATATAAATGTGGGGCGGGGCGATGGATTGCGATGCCGACTCAGCATCGTGAAGTTTGTCGGCCATCGGCGATGGCATCGTCTATCGGCACAACCCTACCCTTTATGTGCCATTATTTCAGTTAATATGGAAAGCGAGTGCATTTTTTACCAAATCTAATATTGGATTTTATTTTAAATGTGTGTTTGTTTAAAACAATATAATTTGAACAAAGAAATGATGAGGTTCTTCTCTAAAGAAGTAGTTACTGCACCCCGTTTAGCGCGCCATTATGGGCATTTTACGTTACAACTAACATGGTTGAAGCGATGGATCTGCGACACAGAAATAATGCGTTTTGGGAAACATTCATCACTACATCGTTCTTTTCCCAAATGATGCATCGTACTATGATAGTTCAGTCGCAAGTTACGTCCTTGTTTGGGAAAGTACCCCTGCCTAGTTAAAATAATGAACCTAGTTAAGCCTTTAAATGTCATTTTAAGCTGTATAGAAATGTGGTGAAAAAAAATCTGCTCTCCGTTAAACAGAAATTGGTGAAAAAAATAAACGGGGGCAAATAATTCTGACTTGAACTACACTCAAAAAAATGAATTTTGGCTTTTGTTGGTCCAAAGAATATAACTATGTTTAAATTAAACAATTTGCTTATGTTTGTGTACTAAAAATAAAAGTGTTATGTTGGAAAAAATTAGAAAAAGTAAGTTTTCACATTTAAACAGCTTGCTTAATTAACATGAATGAAAGGGAGTAGTGTTGCTTCTGCAGTACTGCATTTTGGTCAATAGGTGGAGTAATATCTGCACATGCGCAGTTTCAAAACAACACAGGAAGCAAGAAGATTCAAACCACAATGATCACTCTCAGCTCGTTTAGATCGGCGCCATAATATGGGAATCAAAAGATGAAGATTACAGTACAAATTGAGAACGTGCACAGAAAGCTTTCCTTAATGTGGATGCAGGTGAGATTTTTTTACTTTGTATGTATTCATACTGAGGCTGTGACAACATTTGAATCACTAATGAACTTCCTTGTAATACTATGTTGTGTTTGTGTATAGTATTGTTATGAAATTGTCATGTTTCCTGTGTCTTTTTCACATTAAAGGCAGATTAATTTCTAGTTTTTTTGCATTCATGTGAAATTTTATACTTGGTATATATTAAGCCCAAAATAAAGTTGCAAACGTTGGTAGTAAGAAATAGTCTAATTTTAAATGAGTGTCAAGCAGTTTGTCAAGTTTTAATGCCAGTTTTGATAACTTACATAATGTTAATTAAAAGGTGGTGTTGGCAAAGCATATGTGACGCTTAAATAGGATGACATCTAGCATGATGACATATTTAATGTAAGCTTATTTGTTTGGTCATCTAACACATTTAAACTTTTAAGTTTAGTAGTTTGCAGTTTTTTTTTCCATTTTTATTATTATAAATATATTATTCTAAATGCTATATATTTATATTATTAAATTTTATTATTACAAATCTTTGCTTACTCGCATCTTTTTTTCTCCCTCAGGTTTACAGCTCAGCCTCTGTCCCATATCTGGCTGAGGAGACTGTGGATAATCCAGGTACTATGTCTTTAGATGCCTAGACACGCATTAAAATGATGTACAGTAAAAATTACTAGTAATTTTAACTACTAATTTTTTAGTAAATTACTAATTGTCATTTCATGTCATTTAGAACATCACCAGTGGAAAAAAAGGTGTGAATGCATTCTCAAAGCCCTTGTGAGGGAGTACACGGTAAGCCATTTACTTTTTTTTACATTTTGTATTTTCCTCTTAAACTATTTCCTCCTTTCACCTTTGATCTGTTGGTAAACTTTTTATTTTTTTACTTGACATTTTTAGGATGCTGGACATGATGAAGCACAAACCTTGATGTGCAACACCAACTTATGAATCTACAGTAGTTACATTAACATTTATCAGACTCTCTTGTCTAAAGTGACTTACAATTGAGGACACATTCAGCAAATCAACAAGAAGAGGCAATACACCCAAGATGTGCTAATTATACAAAAAATTGTTAAGAATGCTTCTACATGTGGTTTGTCAAGCCCACTCACCTGTGTGAAGCAGACTTTATGCACAATGTTTTTTTGTGTGTGTGTTTGTTTTTTTTTAGATATATGGAGTGGTTGTAAGAAAGTGTCTGGTGCAAATGTGCAGAAATGGTGCCCAGAGAGATGAATGTGTGTAGCTATTGCATGTTCTGTGATGGTTGGTCTAATTTATGATGTAATGCTGATTGTGTTACATTGCTTTAAAGTGGTAATCTTTCTTTGAACAACTGAAGTGTTATCTGCTTTTTCAGTGTAAAGAAGGTACATCATAGTTTACAAAAGAAGACTTAATTTTTCTAAGTATATTTTTGTTACTCATTTAATGGCAGAATATTATTTTTTAAATGTTTTTTGTAATATATGAAAAGTAATTCGAAAAGTGTATTTTATGATGTTTTTGTAAGCTTATTTTTGTAAATCATTTATTGTTTTTAATTTACTTCATACTTGTATTAATATTAATTTAATAGTATATTGTACATACAGTATTTAACTTATTGTAATAAGTGAAGATACAGATAAAGACAATATTTGGATTTTGATAATCATTTTATTGCTGGAAAATGTGTAAAACTGTAAAAACGCTATTGAATAAACTCAATGAAACAGAAACAGTTTTTTTTATTTGGTTAAACATAACAATCTAAATTTTAGAATAATTGTACTTAAATAACTACATTGATTAAAGCTAAATTATAAATGTTACATTGATTGAACTAACAACATTACATTACCTTTATGTAACTAACTTAAGTTACTAAAATAACTAAAATAAATATTCTTTATTAAAGGTAACTTAACTCAGTTACGTGGAACGAGTGGACAAAAAAAAGTTAATTAACGCCAACATGTCATTTTTTTGAGTGTATATATATATATATATATATATATATATATATATATATATATATATGTGTGTGTGTGTGTACACAAAATCTCATTGACATTGCAGAATTTGGGCATAACAAAGTGCATACAGCCTTCCAGTGTTTGACTCGAAACAGACGGGACACGAGATGCAGAACGGAACCAAACAGAATGTACGCTGGTTGTTGTATCAACTCACTCAGCGATTGTGTGACATTTCAGGCCTTTCCTTCTCTTTCTCTCTCATAGAAAAGGGGTGTTAGAGGAGGGAGGGATGGTATCAGAGGGGGGTCTGTCTGTCTGCGTGTGTGAAGGCACAGACGCTTCAGTAGTAATGTGATGTGTGTCCCGAGGGATGTTTGATGGATTAATGCTGAGCAGCTCCATTGCGATGTACCACCTGATCTCACTCCCACCGTCTGCCTCTATAAAACCTGCCTGACTGCTGATCTCAGCTAGTCTCTCAGTCTCTCCTCTCTCTGTCTGTCTGTCTTTCTCTCTATCTCTCTCTCTCTCTCTCTCTCTCTCCCCTCTATCTCTTCCTCCTCTCAGCCGCCTCCGCTGCAGGCCAGGAGCTATCCAGTGCTGAACAAGTGATTTTTTTTTCTTTTTTTTTCAGCAGCGTAAGCGGGTGTGTGTGTGTGTACAGTAACACACACTCACACACAGTATTGTACCATCAGACATCTCTCTCCTCCAGCGTGCTCTTCATTTCTTTCCTTCATCAGTTTTCTTTTTTAGTTCCCGAGATCTGGATCTTGTTTTTTTTGCACGACGGATTTCATTCGGGACGATTTGATCTGTTTTTTGCGGGTCAGTCTGCGACCGATGTGAAGGATTTTCTGGTGCGTCTGTGCGACCGTAAACCATGCCTCGCTCGTTTCTGGTGAAGAAAATCAAACTGGATGATTTTTCCTCATCTCCCGTGTCTAATCATCATCACCATCATCACAATGACCGCCATATGGACGACTCCTTTACGCGCTCGCGCTCCAGTTTGGGAGTCCGGCTTTGCGAAAACGGTGAGTAATGTGCTTAAATATATTGTTTTTACACATAACAGCAGCCTGACTACATGGGCTCGATAAATATTTCCAAACCCAATTTGTGTTTTGTGTGGCCAACAGATGTTACATAAAGCTTCCCGTTCTGTCGCAAACTAATCCGTAAAAACCCTCCATCCTTTCACCCCCAACCCCGTCCTCCATTGTGCCCCCCAGACTTTCTTTGTTTTTGTTTTTTCTCTGACACAAATCAGGTCACGCAGTGAGATCAGCTTATGCGAATAAATCCCTCATACCAGTTTGTTGTGTGTAACAGCTAATGCTAAGGCTAACGTGCTGCTTTTGTGGGGCTGATGTGTTTGTCCTTAGCTGATACTGCCCTTGAGTTTCGGTCCAAACACCCCCCCCCTCCCTGCATCCCTCCATCCACTCTCTCTTTCCTCGCTCTCCTCCCCCATCCTCCTTTTTCTGCTTCATCTCACTATTTCACTCTTTCACTCTCCTGCTTCCGGGTACATGAATCTAAGTGGTTGAAGGGGGGTGGAGGTTGTGTTTCAGCCATCATTGATGCCACTGGAGACATTCGAGTATACTGTACTGTATGGCTGGAAGGAGAACGAGGGAGATGAAAAGAAAGAAAAGCTGGAGGCAGCGCTGACTTTTGTCACATGATGCAGCAGCACGCACACGCACACAATAGGGCAAATAGCATCACGCGCAGAGTAGAGCCCAGCATCCCTCAGCGGACATGATGGGACAGGCTGAGCTAAACTGAGCCAGTCTACTGAGACTAAAAGGGAGTCCAGAGAGCTCTGTGTCCTCGCAGACAGATTTCGGCAGCAGATGTGTGGCTCGCTCTGCCCCGCTATGCTGTTTTTCACAGATAAGCAAGATAAGACAGGGGGGATATATTCCCACCTGTTACGAAAAGAAAAAACACTACAGACTGTTTATCGTTTCTGGGTCATTGTAAGATTATTTGAACTTTTAAGGTGAGCAGCTTGTTTTAAAATGACATTCAAACATGCATTTTCTTTTTATTTTATGAATATTACTAATTCACATGAATGGTTTAAGCATCAGAACTTCTAAATAACAAAGGACATACAACTCCATTCTTCTCATCTTTCAAGACTAATAATTAAAGAGCATATTTAAAAATTCGATCACAACAATTATTGTTTCTTTAAACAAATCATGATTATATTTGCAGTATTAACAGTATTATTCTATTGATTTATTCATATTTGTTTATTATAATATTAATATCTAAACTGTGTTATTAAATGAACAATTATTGTTTATTACAGCTATATTTACAATATTACACTGAATAACCGTTTTTCCAGCCAAAAATGGTTTGGTTTCTTTGTACTTCTGTATGCAATAAATAAATAAATAAATATAAATTTGGGTAAAATATAAGGAAAACACCCCCAGCACTTTTTAATAACACTTATTCGAACTGTGAAGGCTTTCAAGATCATTGTGTATTGGTTAATATATAAAAAATATTTATTTTAAAAACAGTGTTTTTGTTTCGATCTTTGTTTTTGTTGTACACCTGTAGTGTTCCTACAGAAAATATAGCAACCAACAAGTTTAAAACATATATGTAATTACATCAATCAAATAGCCTAATAATGTCTAAGCCAATTTGTGAGGACGGTACAGATAAATGTCTAAAAACATCCTGTCAGATTGTCTTCTGTTCCACTTTTCCCTGACAAGCTTCATTGTTAATACTCTTTGCTTCCTTTCTGATACTGTACTGCATTAAACGCCATTCAGTTTCCCTTTTAGCATGCAGATTCAATTACAAACATTTTGTCGAAGACATGGCACCTTGGAAGGTGTATTATGTCTGTGAAATTTCAATGGCAATAAACGCGTCTGAGCCCCACGGCTGCCAGAAATCCTTTTAGCGGCTCCTGAATGACCCTCATGATGCATTAAGACTTGCTCTTCATGGTCAGAGGGCTCATAATCAGTTTAGAGAAGTTAGGGGGGAGTTTATTTGTTTCAGCAGATAGAAACGTAACAGGATGTCCTGTTTTAGGGAATAAATTGTCATATTTATGGAATAAAAAGGACATTTTGATGTTTTGAAATCTGGGAAATAGCTTGATTCTGTTCTGAGAGAAGTGAAAGTTCCTTCAAAATCTATTCAAAACGTCAACCTCTGTTCACTTCCACTTTTAGCAGATTAAGCTGTGAATAATGGACATATAACACAAAACTCTACAGGAGCCTCAGATAATCTGATCAAAGCAAAAGAGAGCCTGAGTGGCTTCTTCATCTCAAGGAGAGAAAGAGAGACACTTGTGCTTCCACCACAGTTAACCTGCTTAATTAGCCATTAACCATGTTAAAAGCCTCTGGGTCTTAAACACACACGCACTGAATGAGATATGCAGAAGTCCTCTAACAGCCACTATGAAAACCTTTTTGTACCTCATTATAAACTATGAAGCAAAAGAGTTTGAGATAAAGCTTACGATATGAAATAATTTTCCAAATCTCTCACTGTGTGTTATGAAGTAACAATATAAAATATATAAATCTCACGGTGAGATACAAAGACAAAACTGTGAACGATAAAGCAATGTTCTAAAACATCAATTCCTAATTATGACAAATCATTTCATTGTTCTAGCCAAGAATTCATATTTTGATAAATTAATTCGCAATTGTGAAAAAGTTGAATCACAAGACATACAGTAGAAGTAATTTAATTAATAAAAATATTGTTTTTTTAATATATAGTCTTAGGAAGAACCTGACTTTTGTATAAAATGGCACAAAATATAGCCAAACTGCTATTTCCAATATATTTTATCTTCAAAATGGCAAAGATGAAGAAAAGTAGACAAGATTCCAAAATCAAGTTTTCACAGCAATGCTATAAAGGAACCATTTTGAGTGACCTTTCAGTCATAATTCCTCCCAGTTTTGAACCACTTTGCAACTGTAAACACATTTAACAATCTACAGAAACAAATGTGCAATGAAAATGTTCCATGGAGGTGAAAGATTGGGAATGAGTCGGTATAAGATTCTGACGGTATGATAACCTTAGATAAAAACATCACGGTTTCACGGTATTGTGGTAACTCCAATTCTTTTTAAATGTCTGGGTAAAAAACTAAAACTTTTCCCCTTTTGAACACGCTATATTTCATTTTAAGAAACATTTAAAATATTTTGCAGCAGTAAACAAGTCAGGCTATATAATTCAAATGAATTATTATTGACTTCTGGTGTCTTCATTTTTTTCAAAAACACAGATTTCTTAACAACATAGGTCTTAAACTCAATTGCTGGAGGGTCGTAGCTCTGCACAGTTTTGCTCCAACCCTGATTAAATACAGCTGATCCAACTAATCAAAGTGTTTAAGACTACTAGACACTACTAGATCAGCTGTGCTTGATTAGGGCTGGAGCAAAACATAACTACGGCACTCCAGGAATTGAGTTTGAGCCCTTTGCTTTACGATTTAAAATGGCATCTTTGGATATCGTTTCTGCTAGAGATACTGTTGTGCTAAAAAAAAAAATAAACGTAAATAAAAAATCTTACACATACCTTTGGAATGGTTTACCAAAAAATTTGACAGTTTTAAAACCTTGACTTTTCCAAACCACGGTAAACCTTATCATCCCATGACTATTAAAGATTCTTCCAGAAGCCATTTACAGACTATGACTCAATTACTCAAAGCAGCACAATGTATTTTGCGTCTTAAATTGCTTTACACTTGCAGATCAGTGCAGAAGTGAAAGGTCAATGAGTTAATAACACATTCATGTTCTCTGCCCGGCTGCAGGCTACATCAAGGATTACATCAGCTCGTCCGAGTACACGGAGGAGAAGCAGGCCGACATGAAGCTGAACTCAGAGCTGCTGTACTCTCCGGTCAGCAGTGGAGGAGGAGAGTATTGCCAACCAGACCTGGAGCATCCAGACAGCCCTCAGTCCGGCCTCACAGCCCGCGGATACTTCAGCAGCGAGAGCGAGTCTCTCAGCGAGGGCTACACCATGGACGCGTTCTTCATATCCGACGGCCGTTCTAGAAGAAAGGGAGAAGTCTCGGAAGCAGCGAAGGCCGATGAAGTGGAGAAAGAAGTGGTTGGAGTGAACAACGGCGGAGCACGGCACACCTGCAACGAGTGCGGCAAGACCTACGCCACGTCCTCCAACCTGAGTCGACACAAGCAGACCCACCGCAGTCTTGACAGCAAGATGGCACGCAAGTGTCCAACCTGCGACAAGGTTTACGTGTCCATGCCGGCGCTGGCCATGCACATACTCACTCATGACCTCAAGCACAAATGCCACGTGTGCAGCAAAGCCTTCAGTCGGCCGTGGCTGCTGCAGGGGCACATGCGCTCGCATACAGGAGAAAAACCATTCGCCTGCGCCCACTGCGGAAAAGCCTTTGCCGACCGCTCCAACCTACGGGCACACATGCAGACGCATTCGGCCTTCAAACACTACAGCTGCAAGCGCTGCAATAAGACCTTCGCGCTCAAGTCCTACCTGAACAAGCACTACGAGTCGGCCTGCTTCAGAGGCTCCGGAGACGAGGACGAATCTGGCTCAGAGAATTAACAAGTCGGAAAAGATAAAGATGTTTTAATGCTCGCAAAAATCCCCACAAGACTCCCTATTCACAAACCCCACTCTCCCTTTTTTAGAAAGCAATATTTTCACCAAGAAAAAAAAAACCCTGAACCAACCCAATAATAAGACAATATTGAATAGATGCTGGATTTTTTTTCTTTGGTAAAAACTAAACTAAAAAAAAAAGACCCTCTCATATAGACATGTACAATTATGAGGCTTGGCATGCAAATTTTTATGAACATAATACTATTAATAACGATAGTAATAATATTTAGATTCCTGATGTTTTATAGCAAATCCTAAAAAAAGACATAAAAAAGGACAGCAACAGGTTTGTGCTTTTTGAGAAATGAAAATCAATTTGTATTTTTATGCTGCTCTTTTATTTTGAATTCTTTTGCAACTGCCAACATGAACTTTTTATGAAAATGTGAATAATGACAGTATTTGCAAAAAAAAAAGAACAAAAAAAAAAAAAGATTGTAGACCTCTGAAAAGGTACAAACTTTTGTTACACTTTTGGTATTTGATTTATAATTGTTATTTTTATATTCAAAGTCTCCTGCAGTTTCTTGGTTCCATTATTTATTTGCTTTTTTATTTATTTATTTATTTGTGCCAATCACGTCCTGTAACTGTTGGATCAGAGCCCATCACTCTGTGTTTACCGTATGGAGGAAACAGCACTCAAGACTTTTCAATGATCTCCAAACACTCCGAATATATGGATGACAGGGATTTTCTCTGCTCGCTCTGCTGGGCTTCCTCACACTAAAACAGACTGCATGCGCTCCAGACACGTGGAGCTTCGGCCCTTGTCTTCCTGCTCCATGATTACCTCACCCAGAGGCAGGTATGACCTCAAACCTCTGCTCTGTCCACGCTCTCAAAGATCCCATCACACAAACCTCATTTCTACCATTCCAGTATTATTATCATCATCAAGTACTTATGTATTTATGTATGCACTATTTTGATTTCCCTTATTTATTTCATGTGTATTTATTTATTTATGATCTATTTATTTATTTATTTGGTTGATTATTCTGTGTGTTATTGGATGCTGAACTGCCGTTGACCTTTTAAGATGCTGCTCTTTAATGAAAAACTTTATATGCATGATCCAGCTGTAGAAGGATTTTATTCTCTCTCTCTATTTTTTTTTTAAGAGGCACGGTACGCAATGTTTGAAAGCGGATGAATTCAGGTTGATGATGCTTTGTTTAATGGGCAATAATTCCTCTTGGGTACAGCAACTTGTATAATCAAAGCTGTCCTGTTAGCAGTCAATGTAGGGCAATAAACAAGAACCTCCTTAATATCTCAAAGGTCATTCTCTCCATTTCGTTGTTTCCAGAGCTCCATTTCCTGCTGAGACCATCCACAATGTCTATATATGGTGTGTTTGTGTGACTCCACCCACATTTGTGACATCACAGTTCATCTCATTGCCGAATAACCAATAAATTAGTAATTAGTAAGTAAATTAGTAAGTGGTTAATGCCTTTTGCATCCAAACGCAATTAAAAACGATTTATTAGGTGCAAATTTAATCAAAACCGATATTAAAACCCGTTCTTTTTTTACTTACAATATTAAATGGTTTTAATAAGCAATTTTTGCAGCAATAAGCCTTTTTCTAACAGCGTTTTTATTATTATTACTATCACAAACTCTCTAAGCAATAGCTTTGAATGTAATTATAAAAAAGACTAACCCACAGCATGACATATTTCATGCATTTGGCTTTAGCTGTCTGAATAAATCCCATCATAAGCTGTGGCCGCCAGACGATGACATGAATATGACAGAGTTTCAGTGACATGTGAAATAGGAGTCCCAAATCCTAAACCCAGAAATAATAACCCCCCCCTGAATGGCCAATCAGAATGGATTATTCAGTGTTCGGGAGAAAGGAGTGCTGGGTTCAGGACAGAGATGAAACAAAATAGAGGCTTAATGGCAGCATTGATGGAAAGAGCTGAGCATATGGCGCCAATGTGCTGCTGTCTTTATAATTAAGATCTGAAAGATGTTCAGAGATGAAAGCAAAAGAAGCGCAATCTGAAAATTTGATGTTGTAAATGAGCTGTCTCTGTCTAATCAAGCAGAAAAAGCAGAAGCAATACTTCATGTTGTATAACAAAAACACATTTAGCACCATTATGAGGAACGAAACACATATGATGCATCTCAATATATATGATGCATCAAAGTGAACAGAAGCAATATACACCCCCCTAAAGGGTTAACAGGTGTTGTTGGACAGACAGTAGTCTGAAAGCATAATTGAGTCTGAGTTTGACCTTGCGAGGAAGGTCGAGCAGCAGCAGCCAAAGGCTCTGTCAGCGTTTTGCATATTGTAAAAAGGACGGCACAATCTCAGTAATGGGCCAAAACCTGCGGGGAATAGATAATGAGTTTCTCCTCCCACTTTTCTTCTGCTCTTCGCCTCTTATACACCCATTCCTGACCTCGTACATTGGCATGCTGTGTCTCACCATGTCCTAGAGTTCTGCATGGCATTTCACTGTCACTGCTGATGGACATCAGTGTCAGAAATTTTGCAACTACTATTACGGATACACTGATTACTATGGAGATCACTAAAATGTCCCATGCTCAAGTGTTAAATATTCAGATAACACTTACATATATTTTATAGGACTACATTCTAGTCCAACAGAAAATAATATTATGAAATAGATTTGTACACTACCACTCAAAAGTTATGAAAAACACTTTCATTCATCAAGGATGCAATTATTTACAGAAGTGACAGCAAAAACCGTTTTTGAGACAATTGTGTGAAAATAATACATTGGGCAGCACAATTATTTCGTAGTATTGATGATAATAAGAAATGTCTCCAAGACACCAAATAAGCATATTAGGCTGATTTCTGAAGTAACGTGACACTGAAGACAAGAGTATAATGCTGAAAAGAATTGACTGGATTTTAATATATATTAAAA